TATTATTATTATTATTATTATTATTATTGCACAGATGTTAGGGCATGAACCTACTAGGCATTTATTTGTGGAAATGAGACCTCGTTCCTGCTCTCAGGGCAGCTTTGTATGTACTACATCAGAAAAAAAATCACAGACAGTTCTGTTATTACGTACTAATAACAAGCAGTTACAGGTCTTTTGCCTTTACAAAGGCAAGTTAATTCCTAAGACCTATCATGTAGGTTCCTCAAAATCATGTTGATTTTGTTGGTATGCTTGGTTTTGTGATGTAGGCTGTATTAACATTCTTGGGAATGATTTGGCAGGATATGGGCCTGAAGCGTATTTGTTTATGCTTGAAGATGTTTTTCATGAAAATACTATAGGCTTATTAGTCCTGTTTTTTTCTTTTATTATTCCTTTCCTTAAGTATCAGATTGAAATCAGACTTCAGGAGCTAAGCTGTTGCTTTTCAGGCAGTTTTTCAAATCCTTCATAAATTTCTGAACAATTAAACTCTTGTTTCTTGTAACAGGGCACATCCGTCCTTTCTCTGTCAGAACTGTCCAAGACTCCCCTCCAAAATGGTCTTTCCACCCCTCCACTTCCTTCAGCAGAGGCTTCCAGCACCCGGCTTTCTCCTCCCAATGTTTCTGCTCTCTTGGATATTTCTCTGCCCGGACCACCTGAAGATGTGCTTTCTCAAGGAGAACCTGCCACTCAAATCAGTGATTCTATTATTGAAATAGCCATCAGCTCTGGTCAATACAGTGAGTCTGAGCTTAGTCTTCCTATTAACTTTAAAAAAGAATTAAAAAATCCTTGCCATCTTACGTGTCAGCAGACACTTTTCTAGGAAGCAGTCCTTTGGTATTTTGTTTTTTTTTTTAGTATCTGTTGGAAATAACATTATATGCCTAACCTTTATTTTCCAGCATGTACAGGTGATGTGGTGGTTTTTTCTTTTCTTTTTTCTTCTAAACATAAATTGGTGCAGTGTCCTGTAACTTACTGTGTTGACTGACTCGGTGATTCCTGACATTGACTTACAGGTGAAGGCGTTTCTCTTTCCCCTGCAAAGCTGAATGGCAGTGACAGCTCCAAAAGTCTTCCGTCCCCATCCAGTAGTCCTCAACAGAACTGGATTGCCTCTCCCAGCCACGATCCCCAGTGGTACCCCAATGACTCCACAGACTCATCTCTCAGCAGCTTGTTTTGTAAGTGTCAGTTCACAGAGAATTGCAACACGAAAGAAAAAAAACCCAACATGCTGTTTATTGGAAGTGAATAAAAAAATAAAATCATAAACCCAGTAGGACAATTGTAGAATTTATGCCTCTTTGCTTTCGTTTCAGCAGTGTTGCCTTGAATACATTTTCTTTCTCTTTACAAGTCTATTCCTGAGAAGATTGTGTTGCTAGCTTGGGGCCCATAGCTTGGGACAAATAATTCCTTGGCAGTTCTTTGTAGTCCATTTAGGATCTGACTCATCAGTTAGGCTGAGACATTTTGGCTGTTCTGCCAAAATGAAAAGATGCCCTTGGCTCTGCCATTGGGAAAATAAGCTTCATTCTGTGCTTCGTGAGCATAATCTCAAAGACACGGGATCACTGGGCTTGTTTGAGGTTTGGTTGGTGGGGTTTTTAATTAATATTTATTGGGGCCACTGGAATGAGTCTTTGTACTCTTAGCAGTGTGCCAGTGAGGTTCATGCTGGTAACACATAGTTTTGGAGAGAGAGAGGAAATAAACACCTGTCCTTCGTTTCCTTTTCCCTTGTCCTTCTCTTTATCCTCCCAATTGCAAACGTTCTGTGCTGTGGCTTACTGATGTGCCTGTTCTTTATAGCAAGTTTCATCTCCCCGGAGAAGGGACGAAAAATGTTGCCAACTCCTGTTGGGACCGCCAGTGGCACCTCCTTACTGGGACCCAGCCTTCTGGATGGAAACTCACGGGACTCTTTTGTGTCACGGTCTCTGGCAGATGTAGCAGAGGTATGTCATCAAATTCCATTCAGCTCTCTGCTTTCCTTTTTCACAGTGGTGTTACCATTTGTTTTCCGTCAGATCTTCCTGAGATACTTAAGGCAAAGATGCTCTGAGATCTGCGCTTCAGCTTAGTAAAACAAGGTTACAGTCTTAATGGGAAGGTGTAAAATGACTTGAGGGCGTACGGCACCAGAGCTGGTGCAAGAAGCTGTTGCGAGCGCCTTTGCCCCAGGTGGTTTTTGCTGAGGGAGGTCACGTTTCCCTCATTGGGCATATCCGTGTTTTGGGAGAGAGAGAGCTGTAATCCTTCTGGGTTTTGCGTCCTGTTTGGCGGAGCAGGAATTACAAGAGATGAGAGAAAGGTTAATACTGATGCAGTTACAGTGCTGTTGGAAGACTGGTAGAAAAATATAAATAGGTCCTGAAGGAAGAAGCAGGAAGTGGCTCATATTAAGTCACCTGAGAGAATGGCAGAAGATCCTCTGCTGCCCAGTTATTTTCTCTGTTGCTAAAGTTATTGTTCTGTTTGGAAGTCTTTTGAAGGGGTAGAGTGAAGACCAGCAAATATGTAGGTTTTGATAAGCTTGAGGACAGAGCTCGCTTTCAGAGGGGCAGAGAAGATGGGAGGAAGGAGCTGCAGGAACATTATGGAATTCAGCAAGGACGAGTGCAAAATCCTGCCCCTGGAAAGAAATGACCCCGACAGCAGCATGGGCTGGAGACGGCCTGCTTAGTCCTTGGGTATCTCAACAGACAGCGAGCTGAACATGGACCAGCGTGTTCTCTGGCAGCTGAGAAGACCAGCAGTGTCGTGGGCTGTTGTAGCAGTAGATTGAGCAAAGTGATGATTATCCCGCCTTACTCCACAGCCCTGAGACCATGTCTAGAGCACCTGCTACAGGAAGGACATAGATGAGCTGGAGTGAGTTTAGGAGAGGGCCACCAAGATGATGAGGGGACTGAAGCTCCCTCCACTGTATGGGAGGGAGCTAACTTTGCCTACCAGTACTTGTCGGGAGGTCATCAAGAAGATCGAGCCAGACACTTCACAGAACGGTCATGTATGGTGGGAGGAACAGAGAAAACAGGCACAAGCAGGATTGAGAAAGGTTCTGCCTACATGTAAAGAAAAACCTGTTCACCCTGAGGACGGTCAGGCAGGGCAGTTGTGCAGTGGGATGTTGTGCACTGTCTTGTCTTCAGAGCTCTTCAAGACTAATATCAGTAAAGCCTGGAGTAAGCCAGTCTGTCCTCCTAGAGGACCCTGCTTTGAGCAGGAGGTTGAACTAGAGACCACTTCAGATCCCTTCCCGTCTCAGTTATCCTACGCTTTACAGTCGTCGACTGAGCGTTAACATCAGGCACATTGTAACTCTGTGAGGGCTTGGCCTGAGGGAAGGAAGAATGTCCTTCCACTACTCTTTGGATTTAGATAAGGAGGTTCTCTACGGACCTTGTAACCAGAAGCTGCAGCAAGTTTGTGCTGTTCTAATGTGCCCATGGCTGCTTCACGCTCACACGCAGCTCCATTTCCTGGCATAAATACATAGATAGTGAGGATCTGCCAAAGTGTGTGTTAATTAAAGGAATATATGATAATTTGTTTGGATTTGAAGTGACATTGCAGCTCTTGATCTTACAAACCGCCTCCAGAGGAAAATGGGGTAAGCCACCACTTCAGGCACACCAGAGTGACTGTGGTTGCAAATATGGGTTTGCGTGGGAGCCTTCAGAGGAGGCAAGTGTCATTTAAAAATAGCTTTAAAGATGGGAGAATTTTGAAAGGCTTTTCATTAAGCATCCTGTAGAATCAAGTTTTATTTACAAATTCAGTTGTTACGTTAGAAGCAATATCTGTAGAGGTTTTGTACAGTGCCTCTACCAGTGCTGAATTAAGCATAGGCCAGCAAGACTATAGGTTTGGGTTTCTTTACGAGGCTTCCATTTATCCAAGGATAAGAGCTGTTCTTTACCTTGGATAGAATTCAAGTGTTATCCTTCATGTGAGGAGAGGCTGGGAATGAAGATGAGGGAGGAAAACTCTTCTCAGGACAAGAAGCACAAATTGAAACAAGTGAAATTCCACCTGAAGACAGGAAAGCTTTTTGAATGTTGTGGGAGTGCTCAGACAGGGGAACAGGTTGCTTGGCAGGATGTGAAATCTCCACTCATGGAGATAACTGAGCACCTGACTCGACAAGGTCCAGGGCAGCCTGTTCCAACTGACCCTACTTGAGCAGGACAGTTGGACAAAATGATCTCAAGATATCCCTTCCAACCTAACAATTCTGTGAGTCTGAAATTCCCACTGACATGTAGCTCTTTTTTTCTCTTGTGTCTCTTCTAGGTGGTGGATTCCCAGCTGGCTTGCATGATGAATGAGAACAGCATAGATTACATATCTCGTTTTAATGACCTTGCCCAGGAACTATCGATACCTGAGCCAACCCGCAGGGAGATTCTGTTTGATGGAGGAGGTGGTGGTCCCCCAATTGGGGATCTCTCACAGTGAGTGTATGAGACCAGCGGGCTGGTGTAGAGTGTTCGGCTAACATTGGAGCTTGCAGCGCTGGATCATGGCAAGGGCAGGTTGTAGAGAAGCAGCTGAGGTTCGATTGTCCCCATCTTGTGCGCTTCTTTCTGCAATGCGCTTCTTTCTGAAAGAGAAGCGTCGTGGTCAAAGGTCTGGAGAAGTACTTGCAAGTCCTGGAATGTGCAATATAGTGGGAACAAGAAAATATGGAATAGTATAACGGGAAATGGTGTGTCCCCTGCATCGGTGATGGAAGGTGGCAGGTTTATGGGACAGTCCTGGACTTGCTCTTTGGAATAGCATAAGCAAGAAGCTCCCTTACGTGAATTATAGTTCGCATAGTAAACAAAATGCCGTGATTTGGGATCCACAGTGAAGCTGTGGAGGATGGAGGGTGGGAGTGGGGGTGGGAACTGTTTCGCATCTCGACCTGTCCCGGTTGGCTCTCTTTTTATCAGTCAGTGAAAACTGAAGTTTCTTGCACTCTCTTGCAAGGCGCTGCAACTCTATGATGCTTCATTTTTACAGACCGGTCTGTTTCTTCAGCTGTGTTTTGTTTGACCATTCCAGCAGGGGCACATACCTGCTTTCTTCTTTTGTAGGGGAGCTCTGGTTCACCCTATGCCCAGACTGTGTGGATCCCTGGGGAGTTCCCTCTGTTTTTAAAACGCGTCACATGTCACAATCATTATCATCCTCATCCTGACTGCACTCACATTCTCCACCTTTGAGATTCTTCATCACATTTTACAGCTCACCCCATGAGCGGGAGTGTGCATTCTTGCTTTCCCTGAGGAACGGTTGCTAAGTGAGGAAACACTGCAAAAGAGCTCACTGGAGTCACTAGGAAAGCTTTGTCGTAATTGGTCTTGGCTTTGCTGGTAACATGTACATATTGGCATCTTTCTTAACTTTTGTTAAGTTTTTACTGAGGATTTACCCAGGAGAGGAAACAGGAGAGAACGTTGTAACGTGTAGAAAAAGTAATAGGTTAATGCTCAAGTTGTTGAGATCTGGTTTGTGTCATGAAGAGGAGAGGTGTCGAGTCCTTGCTTAACCCCTTAGTCCTTCCTTATTTCCTCCCTGTTGTATGAATTCCAAGTGCTCTGTAGTACCTCAGGGCATAATTTGCCATTATAGTCACTCCTGGGCACTAACGGATCCTGCACTCCCTCTGCTCAATCCCGATGCGTTTAGTGTTGGAATATTTGAAAGACCCAGATCCTGATGCCAGCAGGTTCAAAGGAATATCAAGTTACTTTCTCTAGAGCTTGTTGCCCGTCAATTCTGTCTTTGTAACTCAGGAGACTTTTCCTATTTCCTTTCCTACTGGTCATGAGAGAGAATTACCTTTATCATGCCCCTTTTTTAAGCACTTGTCTGCTTCTCCAGTAAGAGGATGTCCATTGGCTGCTTTAAGTAGCTCTGAACTCACCTAAGGGGCTAGTCCTATAAAAACCTCAACTTTATATTATTAGTAAAGAAACAAAACTCCATCTCTTAGGCCATTATCAGGGGTTCATTTTCCCAACTTGCACTATACTCGGTGGATGTAGTTCTACCTGCCTTTAGCTCTTTTTACAAGGCATTTGACTGGGAGTTTCTTGTAACCTTGCTCACAATGCACTGATTGGATTGGCTGTTTTCCCAGTCGCTTCACCCTGCTTTTTACGTAGCTTATTTTTTTATCCGCTCTATAGTTTGCCTTATGCTTTCCATCGTTGAGAGAAAACCTCACGCGTTTTCTGATGCACCTTTTGTGCGGCCCAGAGCAATCCTCCTGATTTCGCTCAAAAAGCAGTGAGATTTGGAGGACGTTCTGAGCCGCCGCGAATCAGGTTGCTACGTCCTCCTCTTTGCCATAGGAACCATACAGGCGCATAAATCTAGCGCAAGTACAACTGGGTGTTGCCAGTGGGGAGGCAGACCTGTGTTACTGAGCAAGAAAGCGTTCATAACTAGAGGAATGGAGAATTTTTTTATATCCATAGGCTAAAATCCCATTCTGACTGCATGTCCTGTGGGAAGTTTTAAGTCCTTCTGTTGCTGTTTCTTTTTCATGTTTTTAGACAGCCTATTCTGAGAATTCTGATGCAATTACCAGGAAATCGTGTAAGCTGAGAATATAAAACATTGAAGGCTGTCAGAAAACAGTCCTGAGGACTGTATTGTCCTGAGCATTCACCCTCAGTATGGAGAGGATACCCGTTAATCTCAAGAGTCATTCACTCGACAACTTTTCTTAAGAGCTGAGCTGTATTTTGCTTTGGTCTTTTCCAGGTTGTTTACTCTTGGGTTTGGCTTCTCACATTAATAACACTGATTATCCTGCATGCTGTACACCCAAAATTCCTTCAAACTTAGAGAGAGGGCTCCTGCTGTGGAGATGTGAAACAGTCTAATCAAGTACTGTAAAAATAAAGAACGAGAGTTTCAAGCTTTGAGATACTGAAAGACCAGCCTGATGGTCTCCAGGGTATTTAGGTGGTTTAACAAACATTTCATCAACTTCACGTGTGCTGGAGTAATGGAGCAGGTGCGACACTTAGAATAAGCACCGGCGTCGCCACGCAGAGCACGGCATTGAAGTCTGTGAAGATTTTTTGCTTCCTGCTGCAGGGAGCTGTCGAGCTGCCCTTCTTCGGCTCGTTGAGTTGCCATAAGGGAGTAATAGAATTGTGGAATGAATGCAGCATAGTGGCTACTTTTAATGATGCCATGAGATCAGGAAACTTTAATGTCCTGAACCTTTGCCAGTAGACTTGGAGCACCCAAGTACTAACAGATTGGAATGACAGAAATCAGTTCAGCACTCAGAATCTTGTGCTTAGAAGCGTGTTTGGCATCAGCCTCTTAAAAGTTGTCATTATGAAACTGAATTTGATTTCAGAAATGTAACGTATTGGAAACTGCAGTTTAGTAATAAAGCCTTTCTAGGACAAGTAAGTCTTATTGGGGGGAAAAAACTTGACAATAACTTAGATCATTGTGGTAATTTTGAATTGACGCAGAATTTGTTACCCTTATGTGAAAGGTCACTTAAACACACCTTGGATTCCAACAGCTCTAGGTTTTATGCAGATGTGCTTTACAGTACTAATCATCATCCGTTTGTGCCTAAGACTGCCAGGTGAAAAACTGGGGGGGAGGGAGGTGTAGGAGGGGTGTGGGATTGTGTTATATATACACACACACGTGTATGTGCACATGTGCATATTTGTTTTTTGTAAAACACAAAACTTTTTCAATTATTTCACCTTCCCCAACCAAAGTAACCAAATCTGTCTCTGTTCCAGCGTCAGCCTATCCTAAGCAAAAATTCAAGCAAGTTATACTGAAGCACACACAGGATTGGTTTTTTGAGAAAAATGTGACTTCCTTAGCTTAATAGCTGCTTGGCTCACCGTAAGGTGGTTGGAGAGGAGAAATGGACACTAACAACTTCCCGTCCTAGGCTTCCCCGGTGTTGGTTTAGTGGAAGTTCTGAGTAGTTCAGCGAGGCGAACGGCAGAAAATTCAATGTTTGTGGTCATCACAGCCTGGGTGAGCAGCAGGGCTGCACCCTGCGAGTTGGAATCGCTCGTGCGTGTATGCGCCTGCTGGGTTTTCTGCTGGGTGTTGCATCCCGATGACCCACATGATTCATTTTGTCCTTTATCACTAAATTTACTAAGCATAGGAATACTAATTGTTTTTAATATGGCATTAAGCCTTATTTTGACACCCCTCTTTTATATTTCTAAGTTGAATGCAATGGCTTGGATCGAATCGAATCTAATCTATGAAGACATCTCATTTACTGACTCCACAGATCCCAAAGTGGAAATTAAGTTGCATTTTGTTTTTTTACACTCAGACTTCAAATGCATTTATAAGGAAAGTACTGCACTTTTTTTTTTAACCTTTTCAAACCTTTGAATATCTTAATTTCAGAGCAATTTGTAAATGTTAACTAAGTGAAACCTTGGCAAGCACTACGGCAATAAGTTATCATTAATTATTGAAACATGATAACTGCTTTAGAGCTTATGGTTCTGGCAGCAAAATTTAATGCTGTTTCTTTTAATAATAGTTAAGCCATATCATCTAAGGTTTCTGGCTTGTTTGAGATGTGAATTTGTTTTATAGATTATAAATATACCTATATAGTGTATGTATAAAGCAGAATGCCTGTCCTTACTGATTATTTTTTGTACCATATTGTAAATTATATTATTTATTCTTTACCAATTTTGGAAAAAGGTGTTTTGGTTATTTAATATAATATACAAAAGCTGTTAAACTTCCTCTGTTTAAATTTCCAATTCAACTTGTAAAGCTGTTTTTATTCTTGTGCATAAATACATACTAATACTTGGTCTAACTTATGTACAGTGTGTTACTTGCACTTAATGTCCTATTTTTTTCATTTAACCTTTATTTACATAATAGTGGCTCCTTTGGGGGGGAGGCTAAAAATTTGTCCGTAAGATGAAACCTTCCAAGGTGAAATCCTGTTTCAGTGAAATCAGCGGCGTAAATTCAGTTGATGTCTCTCATCCCAGAATTGTCATGATTTTCCCTGTGGTGAGAGAAGGTTTTGGCTGGGTGGGGTTTTTTTCTGCTTTACAGCTTCCATTCCCAGTCATGTTCACTAAGTGTGTCAGAAAGGGGTCAGACCAAGGGCTTCTATCGTGATTGTCCTGTCATTGTCCATGGTCACCAGTAACAAGGAAAAAACAAACAAAAAAAGCACAATTAAGAAAATACAGCTTAGGGGTTATGTTTTGCTTCACAGCTTCAGATAAGCAGGAGCTTACATGCAGAGGCTGTATTCAGGCCGTCCTGTTTTAATAGCCACTACCAGAAAAACTTCACCCTGAAGAGAAACAGGTTGTCCAGCGAGTGTTGTGCTGTATCTCTCCTCGGAGCTTTCCAAGACAAAACTGAATAAAGCCCAGAGGAAGCTGGTCTGATCTAGCTCACCCTGCCTAGACTCTAAGCCTAAAGAAAGTGCAACTGTGTTCTTAATCTAATGGTAAGAAATGAAGAATGTTTTAAAAAGCTCAACAAAAGTATTCTTTGATGCTTCCTTTCCATCCCGAGAGCAAGGACGCATCTGTACCACTTGTGTGCTGGGAAAATGGACTATATGCCTGAGTGAGAAATTTCTGTGCAGCTTCTCACCCCCTGATGCTGTGCCAAAGGCTCACAGCAAAGTGAATGTCACCTCTTTGCCACCTTCTGTCAGAGCTGGTACTGCACTACTGCTTTGTTTTCTCCCAGGTTATCTAATTTTGCCCTTAATGACCAAAGCTTAATGCCGTAAAAACAGAA